TTTGACTGCTAACCTCAAGGACAGAGGTTGAAACCCACTAGTCACTCCACTGGAGCAAGATGAGGCTGTATGTTCCCAGAAAGATTCATGGTTTTGGAAACCCCGAGGAGTTTTTTTCATAGTGCCCTAATAAGGTTGCGATGAGTCAGGATTGACTTGATGGCAGTGCAAACTACCATGGTCCAGGCACACTGTGAGTCATTTCCCTTGTGTCATTGTACAACTCAACATATTAAATAGTTATTATCATATTCTTTCAACTCTTGGGAACTCTATGACCTCTAATTTCTAGTTAAGATGTCCAAAGTCTGTTCACATCTGCAGTCAGCCAGGGAGAGGCTCTTTGGCTGACCTGAATTCTCTGCTACCTTGCCAGTGGCCATTTTGGCTGGATGATGAGCTGGCCAGACACTCAACTGTGTGTCCCCTGGGAAGCCACTGGCAAGGCCAAGCAAGCTCGGCAGACGTCGCTGCTCACGCTTTGAGATTCATTAGGGCTTACATGCTCTGCTGTGATCTTGGTGACGAGGAGGGGAGCAGCTGCTCTGATTCCCCTGCCTCCCAGCACTCCCAAACAAGCTTTTGGCTGCTCCGTTGACATGTGTGCCAGCAGGCACTGCACACTCATGACTCAGTGGTTTTCAGGGGACTTGGTGGTGTCTGCTTTGTCATTCCTTAGCCCACTCCTCTGACTCAGGCTCTCCCCAGCCATCTTTGTGATTACAACTTCCTCTCTTGTTACTACAAACATCGAGTGCTATTTTCCTAATCGCAGTCCCTAAACCACCAGCTTGGTTGGGTCTTGAGAAGAAGCCAGCCCCATTTATAATCATCACAGTCATCGCTACCAGGATGTCCTCAGAGCCCCACACTGCTGAAATCATTGCAGACATGAAAGGGAGTGAGCATTTGGAAAGTCAGTCTGCTGAGGATCTCAAAACCAAGGGGTTCTTGAGATGAGCATGACCTCATAATAACAGAGCAGATGAGCTTCAGTCCTTTGTGATCCCAAACTCTGAGCCAAGCAAAGCCATTTTGGATGTTAAATCGTGACCTACCACATTTGCGCCATGCTCAGAGTGTGCAAACCTTTCACACCATTTATTGTTCTGACTCTCACAACAACACTGGGCACTGTAGACACCATCACCCCCACTTTGCAGATAGGGAAACTGAGGCTTTTTGAGAGGACTAGGATTTGCCTGAAATCATAGAGCTCATTCTTGGTGGAGGGACTGGTCTTATATATTCATAGCATAGAGTGGAATTACCCCATAGGGTTTCTAGGAGATCTGGTAGCATAGTGGTTATGAATCGGGCTGCGAACCACAAGGGCAGCAGTTCGAAACTACCAGCTGCTCCAAGGGAGAAAGATGAGGCTTTCTGCTCCCGTAAAGAATTACAGTCTCAGAAACCCTGTTCAGGGTTGCTATGGGTCAGAACCGACTCGACGGCACTTAACAACAACATCTTTCTGGAAGCAGATTGCCATGTCTTTCTTCTACTGAGCAGCTGGTGGGTTTGAGCCACTGACTTTTTTATTAGCAGTTGAGCACTTACCCACTGAGTCACCAGGGCTCCTCTCTATGGTCCTAACAAACAGACAGTACTCAAGAAATGGCGTTCATTGAACTGATGATTGAAAAATGATGTACAACTCAAGTTCAGGGCTCCCAATTCCCAGTACAATGATCTTTCTGTGGCACAACCAGCCTACTTGAGCTCTTGTAAGCCACAGAAAAAAATAGGCTAGCTAGTCAGTGCCTGACCTTGGGCAAGGCATATGACCTCACTGAATTTCCTCTTCTGCAAAATGCAAGATAATAACAGCGCTGCTTCATTGTGTTGTTAGTAGTAAGGAAATGTACGTACAGGGAGCCTAGGACAGCCACAAAAGCTTATTAAATGTTGTTGAGTGCTGTTGAGTCAATTATGACTCATAGCAATCCTGAGGTTAGCAGCCCGATTTGTAACCACTACACTACCAGGAGTCCTGATATTAAATGTTAATGGTATCTTTTATGACTAAAGGTAGGGTTTACAATCTGAGAACCAAGGACAGTGATTGGCACAAAAGAGCCAAAGACTCAAAACATTTGCCTCCCAAACTGAGGAGTCCTGGTGTGGTGCTCTGCTTCAATGAACTGGGTGGGCCACAAGGTTGGTATGTACTGCAAGGTCGGTGGTTAAAATTCACCAGCTACTCCTCGGAAACTCTACACAGGGTTGCTATAGTCAGAACAGACTGGATGTCACTTAACAACAACAACTTAAACTGAAACTTCTCATGTGACTCAGCAAGTCTGAAGGGGTGAACTAGAAAAATTTCAAGGTTCTTTACCAGTTCTAAAGTACTCCATTTAATTCAGTGGTTCTCAGTGGGAGTGATTTTGACCCCATGGGGACATTGAGCAATGTTGGGTGACATTTTTGGCTGTCCCATCTAAGGTGGCTAAGTATAGACAAGCATGCTAGTTAGGATTATGCAAAGCACAGGTCACAGCATCCTCCCTGCCCCCCAGCAAAGAATTACCAGTCCAGGCGCTGAAATTGCAAAACCCAGATCCAATGCTACAGAAATACCCATAACTCTTGGATTTCTTGGGCAAGTGCCTGCTGTCCTACCGCTTGCTGAGATGGAGAGAGAGCAGAGGTCTTCCAGGCAGGAGAGCAATCTATTGATTGTCCCTTTTGCTGTCATTGTCCACCCTTGCCACATTGATCTTGTTGGAGGAGGGGACAGGCTGGCCTTGGCATTTTTCAATCTAGCAGTGAAATCTCTCCTGCTCTGTCAGGGCTTCAGGAGAACACCTCTGTGCCCAAGATGCACGGAGCCTGGGTTTGTGGGTTCAGGTCCCACTCCAAGCAAAGCTGCATGTTGCTGGATTTGCCTCAGCACCTCTGGCTCCCTTTCTCCTGCCTCAAGTCAGTTCTTCAGAGGACAGGCCAATTCCTCTGGTGATGGAGGAATTGTACCCTTGGAGGACAATTGGCCAGAGGTGTGCCCATGACTCTCATAGTCACACAGCCTAGCTGCCCACTCCATGAGGGCCTCAGTGTCCTAGTTTTTCTCACATGAGGATCAAGGCTGTTCTTGGCTCACTTGTCTTGAGACTCTAAAGGACCAAGATCACTTTTTTTTTGGCATGGAAGTTTCCTTTACCTTCTATGTTCTTTTTTCCAACCCTACCTTTTCCCCCTGAGTTCTTGCTATGAATTTCCTGGAAAGGGAGAGAACTGCCATCCAATTTGGACCACATTGCTACTTAATTCTTATCTCTGTCTCAGTTTTCTGATCTGTTAGAAGCTCACTTGATAATTGTGAGCACAGGGAAATAAAGGGGAAACATCTTGCAAACCATGCATGGCTACTCACAGGGAAGTGGACACTGGCCCTCAGGAGAGTGGGAATCTCTCTGACACTCTCCCTTTCACTCTTTGGAGAGTTTCAGCCTGAGCTTTAGGGAGACCCCACACTGTACTTCCTGGCACCACCATGGATGCCTGAAGGCTCAGCAAACAAGATCAACACTCTCTGCATCTGCCAGGCTTGCTGGACAGGAGGGAATGTTGAAAATATATGTCAGAATCAATAAACTCACATATCTGGGCAAAGCCAACACCAGTCCTGCCCATGCTTGGCAGCTGTACCAACTAGGCTTCTCATGGGAAAAGGAAGCTGTGCTGGAAGGATGTTGACCCCAAAGGACTGTTCACCCCAAATTGTGGGCAACCCAAAGATCTGACATTGCTGATTTTTGGTAAACACAGCAAGGTGAGCAGAGCAAGAGGCACTTGGCAGTCAGGCCCTCTCAGTCATTTCAGAGAGGCATTTCAGATGGAAGGTGATACAGATGAACGAAGGTCTGGGGGAAGCATCCTACTGATGCCAAGATTTCATTCCTTCTGGGATTGCAGTAGCTTGTAGTTAGTTTAAGTACAACTAAAGATAGATACAAGATGGGCTGGCACAGTGGCAGCAGCAATGGGCTTAAACTTAAGAACAATTGTGAGGATGACATAGGACTGGGCAGTGTTTCCTTATGTAGTAAATAAGGATGCTATGAGTTGGAACCAACTCAACAGCATCTAACAGCAACAAGAAGACAAATGGATCAGCAGGAAGAAATGTAGAGACAACGGCCAAGATATTACTGAAAGGCCCATACCTCAGCTTATCAAAGGCATGAAGGATGGGTCGCAGTCATTATTCAGGTAGGACCTCTCTGAAAGGTTATTTTTCTTACAAAAAAACTAGAACTGTAAGCTCTTTGTCCTATAAACATGCCACAGAGAAGGATCCCTCACCCTTGTCTATTACAGCTATCAGATCTGGTTGTCCTTAAAATTGATTCATGGGACCATACTGACACTTATGGAAGAGTAGGCACAAAGATTCCCTGCCTCAAATTTCCAATGTCACTACTCCTAGAGGTCTTATGGATCACTGAGTAAGCAAGTGACTCCAGAAAGCTAAAGGATTTCACTGATGTGGATATTGGTGTGTCTTCTGTGTTGTGTAAACCTAGGACCAACTTCTCTTCCAACAGCTACTAAATTGACACTGAGGTGGTATCCACTGATGAATTCTGCTTTTGAGTCCACGGTCCTATACAAGCTGCTCAAGTAGACACAAAGGGTTGTCCTTTCCCTTCCTGCCCAAATTCTGCTGGTAAAATCCAGTTTCCTACATATTACATTTCTGCCTTTAACATCCCCCTTGGCTGTTTCCTTTTTGGATCCACCTGGTCTTTAACACCCATTTATTAAATGTCCACTCACAGCTGGTCCTCTGCCCTCTGGAAAAACCGTGGTAAGAGAGACCCACAGATCAATGCCTGAGACATGACCCAGGGAATACCAGCAGTAATAGCTCAAGCTGGACCCAACCATTACAAAATCATTGTGAGTTTTAAGAAGACATCTCAGGTTCTGGAAATTTGCAGCTCAAAGTCAAATAATCTTTTATAAAATTGAGCTGGGGCCTAGGGAAGACTTACCCATGCTTTCCCAGACTGGGCACCAGGAGGATCTCTCGTCCAGCTTCGTTGTGGGGCAGCAGCTGGGCCACGTATCTCCCAGAGGGCTGCAGGTGCCTGTGCACAGAGACAGCCAGCGTGCAGTGCTCACTGCTGCTCCGCATCCACGGGCTGAGGATGGTGTGCTTGGAGTTTGCTGAGGTGTTGAGCAGAAGGAAGGAGCCTAGAGAGAGACAGGGAAAGTGAATCTGAATTTATGTCCAGACAGGAGGGCCAGTAGCAGTTTGTGGTAGGATTCAGAGACCCTAATATTACAGTTAGGGCTGCCTAAAGATAAATTGTCTCCCATTCTGTGCACAAACCTAACTCACTATTCCTGTTCTTACCTTTTCTTGGTAAAAAGCATAACTTAAGGCAGAAGGGTGGAGACTCGGGACATGGGCTTCATAATGAGGCATACCTTGGTTTTAACCTTGCTTGGTTCCACTGTCTTTGTGTCCCTGAATTTCTGGTACATCATCTATAAAATGGGAATATAATTCTCTCTTTCAAAGTGTGCTGGTGAAGATTGTAGGAGATAATGCATGAGAGCACTTCACAAAGTTTTTGGCAGAGGGGAAGCACCCTATAAATCAACAGTTGTTTGATGATACTGACAGTCTTCTCTATTAAAGTAGAGATGATACCGCATAGATTATTTACCAGCCAATAACTACAACTGACAAAGTCCCATGGGAAACATGGGAAGAATAGGAAGGATGACCTAAACCCCAAAGAGTGACCAGAGTCATAAACTCAAATTAGGCACTAAGATATTCCTATAGCTTTGCCTCCTGGTCTAGGAAATAGACAGAAGAGAGCCAATCCCTCCGTAAATGTGTTCCGTGGAGTTGGCGCATCAGTGCTGTTTTGTAAACATTGTTGTTGTTGTTAAGTACCATCGAGTTGGTTCTGACTCATAGTGATATTATATAGAGTTTCCAAGAAACAACTGGTGGGTTTGAATCACCAATCATTTAACAGGATTAAGCATACATGTAATATGTCTATTGTTCTTCTGCGTTGTCACGATGGTGCTGACCATAGAGGCCCCATGTACTACAGAATGTAACATTGGGAGATCTTGTGTCAGCCTCACAATTGTTGCTATGTTTAAACCCATTATTGCGGCTACTATGTTACTCTATCTCATTGAGAATCTTCCTCTTTTTTTGCTGACCTTCTACTTTAACCAACATGAAGCCCATCTCCAGGGACAGGTTCCTCCTGATGGCATGCAAAATGTATGTGAGAACAAGTCTCGCTCTCCTCCCTTCTAAGGAGCATTCTTGCTGTACTTCTTCCAAGACAGATGTATTTAATCTTCTGGAAGTTCACGGTATATTCAATATTGTTCACTGACACAATAATTCAGAGGCATCAACTCTTCTTCAATTTTCCTTATTCATTATCTAGCATGTGAGGCAATTGAAAATACCATGACTTCTTTCAGGAACACTTTGACCTGTTTGCTTTTTAACACTTTAAAGAGATCTTTTGCAGCAGATTTTTCCAGTGAAGTATTTTGTTTTATTTCTGGACTGCTGCTTCCTTCCCTGGGCAATGATTATGGATCCAAATAAAATGAATCCTTAACAAATTCTGTATTTTCTGCATGTATAATGGCATTGCTTATTGGGTCATTGTGAGTATTTCTTTTTACTTTACAATGAGTCATAATCCATACTGAAGGCTTTATCCTTAGTATCATAGTGGTCTTTATCATTAGTAAGTGCTTTAGCATTAGTAAGCACTTCAAGTCCTTTTCACTTGATGCAAGCAAAGTTTGATCATCTGCATATGTCAGGTTGTTAATGTGTCTTCTTTCAATCCTGATGCTGCATTCTTCTTCATTTTCAATTGTATGCTCAGCATACATATTGAATAAATATGGTGAAAAGATACAACCATGATACATACTTTGTTCTATTCAAATGACTGCTTCTTGGTCTTTGTACAGGTTCCACATGAAGATAATTAAATGCTCTGAAATTCCCATTCTTCACAATATTATCCATAATTTGTTATAATCTACACAGTTGAATACCTTTGCATAGTCATTAAAACACAGGTAAAGATTTTCTGGCATTCTCTGCTTTCAGCCAAGATCTATTTAATATCAGCAATGATATCCCACATTTCACATCCTCCTCTGAATCTGGCTTGAATTTCTAGCAGTTCCCCATTGATACACTATTATATCTGTTTAAAAATTATCTTCATCCAAATATTACTTGAGAATGATATACTAATGATACTGTTAGATACTTTTCACATTCTCTAGGATCTCCTTTCTTTTGAATGGGCACAAACATGGGTATCTTCCAGTTGCTTTGTCAGGTAGCCACCTTCCAAATTTCTTGGCGTAGACAAGTGAGTGCCATCAACTGCATCTGTTTGTGGAAACATTTCAGTGGGTATTTCATCAATCCCTGGATTCTAAATGCTTTCAGTCTGGCTTACACTTCTTCCTTTAATATCACTGGGTCTTGATTATATGCTGTCTCTTGAAATGACTGATCATAAACCGGTTCCCTTTGGTACAATGACTCTATGTATTCCTCCCATCTTTTTTTTTTATGCTTCCTGCATCATTCGATATTTTGCCCATAGAATCCTTCATTACTGTAGCTTGATTTTTATCCCCAGTCCTTTCAGCTCTACACCATGCAAACTAGGAAGGATACTTGGGGCATCTTGGGCCACTCTACAGGCCACATAGGCATATCCTGTACATACCACATTCAACTAACCTGAGACTCAATGTATATCTGCTGAACAATTCAGAATTCTCCAGGAATGTATGTTGACTCTATGTTCTCAAATATTTATGACTAGTTCAAATATTTATGAGAGTTGGGCAGTCTTGAGGGGATCATTTGTGTCACTTATTAGGTAGTGCTCAAGAGCATTGTTGTTGTTGTTGTGTGCTGTGGAGTCGGTTCTGACTCATAGTGACCCTGTACAGGGTTTCTGAGGCTGTAAATTTTTACGGGAGCAGAAAGCCTCATCTTGCTCCCACTGAATAGCTGGTAGTTTCAAACTGCCAACCTTAAGGTTAGCAGCCCAATTCATAACCACTATGCTCCCAGAGCCTGGGCTCTGCTTATTCTCTTACTAGTTGAGTGATCCTAGGCAAAACATTAACTTCCTTAGGTTTCAGTTTCTTTGCTTATGGATTGGGGTAGGAAAGGTTGACTGAATTCAATAATCTCTAAGATCTATTTCTGTTCTTTGAGTCTATGAATCACGTGAATTTGTAACTGGTATCCACAAACAAAACCCTACAAATCCCTCTGGTGCCATATCTGAGGCAGAGTCTTCCTCTGGGGCAAGCCAACCCTAATTCCAGTTGTTGTTGTTGTTAAGTGCTGTCGAGTAGATTCTGACCCATAGTCACCCTGTATAGGGTTTCCATGGAGCAGCTGGTGAGTTTGAACTACCGACCTTGCAATTCAAATGCCTTTGCAGTCTGATGCATTAGACCACAGCACCACACCAGGAATCCCTAATTCCAGTAGCATTGGCCAAATGACCTATAAGAACCCTATATTCATGAGCATTACTATTAACATAAAAGTACAGCACCATTTTATTGTTCCAGGCATTCCCTCGGATGCATTCATTTTACTTGCCACACTTCTGTATTGACGCTTCGGACCATTAGATACTACTTCCTTTGCAGAGAAGCATATTCCATCAAGATCCTTGATTTCCCCAGTGGAGAACAACTAATGGGTTCACAGCCTTCTTAAAGGACCCCTGACATTTCAAATTAGTCTCCTTTTGCTGATAACCCAATTTACCAAAATAAGCAAATGAACAGCAGCTTGCATAAAGATGAAAGAAGGAGAATTCCTACCAGAAGTAAATCATTTTCCAAGGAGATGATATTGTACCAGGAATTGAAGATGTACAACATTCTGTAAGTAGGTAAATGTGACTTATAATTAGTATCAGTGTGAGTTAGCCCAGTTCTGCTCTGGACATGGGAAGAAGTACTGGAAACTGAATCTTTTGTAGTTTGGGGGAAGTTGGCATAGTAATAGGCCTCTGAAAACTGCTGCACAGTTCTAGAAAAGCATCTATAGTACTATTTTACTTTGCTATGAAGAAAATGTTCATCTCATGGGCAAAATAGAAAAGAAAAGGAAGTAGAGTCAAAGTCTCAGGCTTGGAAAGGAGTTAAAGATCATCTGACAAAATCCCTTCACTTTTCTAGAAAAGCAGAATGGAGATCAGGATGAGAAAATGACTTGTCTAAGGTCTTTACTGCCATGTCAAGACCAGATTCCAGGTCTCTGGACTCCTAATTCAATACCCTTTTCCTTGCAACTTCTTCATGGAGTTGTTTAGCCTAAAATATGATCATTCTACCTCGTGGTCAGGTTGTATAGTTCAGGAATTAAGAAGGTGGAAGTAGGGGGGGAAAGAGAAAGATAGATATCAGACCAAATTGAATTATCTACTTGTTTCCTTACTCCTTCTTATCCTCATGTTTCATTTGTTGAATACCTATTTTGAGCAAACCTCTAAGTACTGACTCTATTCTGAGGACACAGAAGCAGATCTGGCTTCTAAGAACTCTAGGTCCAGCGGGGGTGAGGAGATGCCTTCTGCTAACTATAATATGAAGTAGTGGTGGTGGTCTTGTGCTGTGGGGTCATTTTCAACTCATAGAAACCCTGTGTAGGGTTTCCAAGGCTGTGAATCTTTATGGGAGCAGAAAGCCTCAACTTTCTTCAGCAGAGTGGCTGGTAGATTGTAACTGCTGACCTTGTAGTTAGCAGCCTAGCTTGTAATCCACCACACTACCAGGGATCCTTATAATACGCAGTTGTTTTTAAGTGTCATTGAGTCATTTACGATTCATAGTGACCCTGTATAGGGTTTCCAAGGAATGGCTGGTAAGTTTGAACCACTGATCGTGTAGTTCAAACCAACCTTGCAGTCCAGTGGTTATCTTACAGTGCCACACCAGAACTCTATAATATAAGCAGTGGAAGTTAACAAGTCATAAGACTTTTATAGGTAAAGCTCTTGAGAAAGTCTCAAGAGGGAGACATTTGGTACAGTTGTGACGGTTCATAAAGGAGATGACTTTTGACCCTGGTTCAAAAGGGAGGGGAAATGAGGATATTTGCAAACCCAGTCCTTCAGGCATAGGAGTGAATGAAGAGAGGG